ATTTAGAAGTGTTACTGCATTTTACATAAAAATATGAAAAGACAAAACAAACATGTTTAAAAAGGGATACCAACAACCCCCCATAATGTACAACATCCCAAAAAAGTGGAGACCCCTTACATCTAAAAAAAAATCTTTTAAAGACAAAATATATCTCTTGAAAATGAGAAGATTAAGAATCTAAAAGGCAGAAATCTATTTGTACTGCAGATGCTATTAAATTCTTTCATCTTTTCAACCTCTAGGGGGTACTGTGTTTTCAGCAAACCCTCCCCCATGAAGAATTTTCTTAATCTACAAGGCAGGCTTCACAAAGTGCTGTTAACGTTAGCTGGAGCAAGTCAAATTTAGGAATGAAGTCTTCCAGAATAAATAACACAATTCACTGTAATGCCTTGATTAGAACAGTGATTCTAATCCTGATTTGTGTGCGTGCATTTTGACCTTAGTACTTAAGTCCAGATTCTGAAATCTTCCTTCTCACTGTCTACAATCAGCATTTTGCCTGCCAAAAGATTCAAGACTGCTGGATTAAAAGACACTTCATATAGTTGAAAGAACTAATGAAAGATCATTGCAAAACAATTGGCTATGAAAAATGTTTGTAGTTGTACTGTAGTTGAGCTCGTGAGTAGGCACACTAAGAGGTAACATTTAACTGGCATTAACAAATTGTTATATGTGATCATTTGGCTCCAAAAATATCTCAGACGAGGTTACTCTTCAGAAAAATGTGACAATGCAGCTGAAGATGCTGCTACTGCATTAAGATGCTGATCTAGAAATCTTCACTCCCATTAGCTGGAATGGAATTCCTCAGCAGAGTAGGAACAACAGGATGGGCGCATCTACACACGCATTAATACACTTTTCCTCATGCGCATTAAATTTACTACCTGCAATGTGAGGTACTAAATGAATGCGCATTAGGCTGCCCTAATGTGCAGGAGTGAAAGCGCACACTTTTTAGTGATACTTAATGCGCAATAGCCTATTTTATTGCACATTAGCATAACAGCACGTTTTTTATGTGCTGCTTTAATATGCAGTAAAATAGGCTACTGAGCGTTAAAGTGCACGTGTGGAAGCACTTGGTGAGACCTAACTGGATCTTCAGATTGCTTCTTTCTTGCTTGGCTCCTGCTCCACCACACTGACCGCTCCTTAGGGAGTAAATGTGAATAAGGATGGCTTTCTGTGCTCACTCTCTTTTCCTTATTTTGTACATGGCATCCACTCTGTAATACGAGGGCTCAGCCAATATGTAGCATGTCCCAATAGTGAAGAAAAATAAAGATCATTAAAAAAAATAACCAGAGGTTGCCAAATTGCCAGGGTCATTAACATAGACATAAAGCAGCGGCTGGAAAACTCAACATTTTAAGGATCTCTAATAAAAATGCTGTGTAATGAAAAATTAGTGTTATGTTGAACATTGTAACATTCTGTTTAATCACTACGGTGTTGTACAAGTTGCAGCAAGAACGCTTTAGTCTTTATTGTCCGGGAATATACAAAAAGGGTGGCTGTTGATGTAACCTTTGAAATAATTCTGAAAACAAATGAAGAAACTGGATACTGTTATTTCAGATGTATGCTTCTCAGAAAAAATATTAGGCTGTGAAATTGCACATTTTTGTCTGATTTCAATTACATGCAATTCTAAATACGCTGATGACTTTTTTAGTTATTTTTTGGGTGTGTGAAATAAATAGCATCATCCATATTTTTTCATAACTTAGTTTCATTGCATTCAAAGCACTCACAGGTTTTTATGTTTTGCTTCTTTTTACTTCAGATTTCATGTCATTTTTGAGGTGAGGAGATAACCACACTAGGAACCAGGATCTCCAATTCACAGGCACTCCAGTAAAGGCAGCAACAAATTTAGTTTATGTAGACTGCCCTGACAATGACCTCAACCTTGAGTGAAACAGACCCCCTTCTGTAAGGTGAGGAGCAGGTCAATCACCCTCCCGATTCAGCCTTGGGCCTCTCTGAGTAAGCAGAAAATGTCAAACTGTGCAGGCTGACTCTGTGTATCACAGTGTTGATCACTGCAGGGCATGTGGAAATCCCCAGAAAAATGTTCTTCAGGATCTGTTATAAGCAATGAAAGCCATTAGTCCCCATCCCCTTCTTCACTATCCACTTTTGAACGCTTTACACATGTTGAGTTGTTTCTTAGCCACTTTAAAACAGCACTTCCACAAACACGAATGCTAGCAGAACACGTAAGAATACGTGTCTTTTCTTTTACCTGCTTGACAGCAAAGTTGCTCAGTTGGTTTGCCAATACTGGTGATTTTTTTGTCTATTAATGAAATACATGTTTTTTAAAACACTTTTTGGTTTGCTTTTGAGAAGACAGGAGAACTCCTAAACTTTCTATAGAATTAAATGGGCCGTTAGCACAGCCTAAAACATGGGATGGTGCAGAAAACACTGGGGCAAGGGGTACCGCAGGAAGCATTAGTGTCTGGAGCGGCACAGGGGGTCCCACAGCTCCCCAGTTCTACTAGGCAGGAGCCAATAGCGTGGACCTGCCTTTGAATGGTACAACGTTTCTTCTGGATAGTGCAACAGGGGCACAGCAGAGCTCTTTGGAAGCACTAGTGCTGCCGGTCTCACCATCCTCACCCAGGCTGCGCAAAGGACAAGTTTTCTCAATCCCCTCCTCCTCCCCAGTGTGTCCATATGAAACAAAGGGGTAATTAGCTCCACTCCTGATGGCTTTCCAAAGAGCGTGGCAGAGCACTGATTTTAGCTGGATTGCTCAGAGCAGGACATTCAACATAGTGAGGGTCTTGCACAGACTGTCACCCCTGCTGTGCCCCATCACAAATGGAGGGGACAAATCCCTGGAGGAGGAAAGGGGCATCAGTAGCTACTGAGCAGGGCATGAAGGGCACAGCCTCCACATCAGACCTTAAATGCTGGAGGCTGCAAGTGAAGGTGGAAGTGAGGGAAAAACCCAGCCCCCCTCTGCCACAGGAACACAGGAGGCTGGGCAGGGGGGCCTGTGGCCTGACCCACAGTTCACAGATTCATGGATGTTTGGGTCAGGAGGGCGATCATCACGTCCGACCCATTGAGTCCGAGACCATCGAGTCAACAGATCACTGAGTCCGACTGCTTGTCCCGGGCAGGAAAGAGCGCTGGGGGGAGATGGCCCCAGCCAGGTGCTTGCGCAGCCTCCTCTTACCCCCCCAGGGCAGAGGGGCGCACCGCCTCCCCTGGAGCCCGCTCCAGACTCTGCCCTAAAGAAATTCTCTGCGATGCCCAACCGACACCCGCTGCCTCTCGGTTTGTGGCCGTTGTTCCTAGTTACTCCGAGGGGGCAATGGCCACGTTTACCTGAGCAGCAGCGCTTCCCCAGGAGCGCTCTGGAGACCCGCAGCTTCCCCTCCGCCTCCTGGCGCTTCCCGGGAAGTGTCCCTTGGTTGTGGCAGCACCTGCCTCCTGGGAGGTCCCGGGGTGCGGCTCCGCGAGGCTTGAACCAGCGGCACGTGCCCCCTCCCCACACCTGCGGGGCCGCGGGGAGGCGCCGGCCGGCGGCAGGCGGGGAGCTCGGGGCGGGGCGGCTCCGCGGTGGAGGGG